CTCCACTCATTAGTTTAACAGAAGTAGGGGATTTATCAACACCAGAAGCAAAATGACTGAAATCTGCAAAATCAATGGCAAAAATTTGCCTCAAAATTTCAGTTTCATTGGAAAATGTTTATCACAAATACATGTAATAGAGACTTGTCACAACATGTGCATTATCAGAAGTGTGACAGTTCTAAAATCATCCTCATAGATTCAACATGACAGTTTATCAGGCCAGGAACAAAATCTACTCCATTTTATAATGATGTTGATGATAATAGGTATCAAGTTTAAAACAAAGAAAAGGAAGAATTTTTTTAACACAACGCACAGGAAACTTGTGGAACTCTTTGCGAAGGCTTTTGTGAAGGTCAAAAAAGAACTAGATAAATTCAAGGAGGACAGATCCATCAATGGCTATTAGCCAGGATGGGCAGGGATGGTATCCCTAGCTTTTGTTTGTTAGAAGCTAGGAATGAGTAGCAGGGAATGGATCACTTTACTGTTCTGTTCATTCCCTCTGGGGCACCTGGCACTGGCCACTGAGAGAAGATACCCAGTGCGGCCGTTCTTATGTCCTTAATTGAACCTCCCCCCCACTAATAGTGGGTTACTGCAGCTGGGCATGTACAGGCATGATAGGAATCTAAATCCCATTGACTAAGTGTCTAAATCCATGTTGAAAATGAAATGCAAGATCCTAAATCAGTTGAGTGTTGCAATGCTGAGCACAGCAATGCCTAAATAGCTTAACAATGTATGCCTCTGTTCACCATCTGTAAAATAAAAATATTTTTATTCTCTTTATGCCATCTCACCAAGGAGTTGGAGCAGGGATGGGCAATAATTTTTTCCCAGGGGCCAGTTCAAAAATTTTTGAAGTAGCTCCGGGACATCCTGGAAGGGGGTGGGACCTAAACGGGAATGGGGTGGGGCTATCCCACCTCCAGACCATGATTGGTCTGGGGGTTGGGGAGCCCCTTTGCCCCTCCTTCCCACTAGGCACCCATGCCCTGGAAGAGGCTTGGCACACTTTCCCACCCCCTGTCCCTAATTGGCAGGGTGGGGGCTGAGCGGAGAAGGCTTTGGGTGCTTCCCTGCCCCCAGGCCCTAATTGGCCTGGGGGCGGGGGAGCAGCAGGGCATCCGTGGGCCAGATCCACCTGCTTGGTGGGCCGGATCTGGCCTGCGGAGGGCCTTTTGCCCACCCTTGAGTTGGAGGGATAAATACATTAAATATAGGGAAGTACTTTGAGATCTTCTGTTGAAAAGCTCTGTATAAGAGCTAAGTATTATTATTGTACTCTGTTGTTAGAGAAAGCAGACGTTCACAGAGCATTTATAGTCACACGTTAGGGGAGTGTCGTTATGTCACGAAACCATCTGTGCTGCTCACTTGTTGAGATAGTTTCCCCCCCGACAAAGTGAAAGATTGGGAATTAATCTTAAAACTAAGCTGTACTGAAAATGAAAAATAAAACTGGCTGTCAGTCAAAATGCTGATGGCACAGACGGTGCTCAGAAATTTGATGCACAGTGTTAAAATAGGTGCTTATATGAACACTTTGTACTTCATCAGTCATCTATTTCAATACTATGAACATAGATAATTAAGGAATAACACCTCCCAGGCTGTGTAAACCTAAAAATACACAATATCAGAAGTAATAAGATTAGCAAAAATATATTATACAAGTTTAATAGTCTAAGAACAGGTCTAAGAACAAACAGAGCTTTGCTTCCTTTGGTTTCCATTTAAGGATATGAAAGACGGCATACTTTGAGCAGAGAGGATACATTTCTCACTTACGATGCTTGCAGTCATGGCCACTCCAGCCAGGAGGATGTGTGTACTCCCCAGTAACATGGTGACACTGACAATTGCTATTGCAGCTGCACGGCAACAGGCAGTTTTGCCCATAGTAACCATTGAGGCAGGCTGAAAACAGATGGACAGATGGTATTTTTCACCTAGATATTGACTCAAGCATGGGCTGTCATTTCATATGAGACAGCAACAACTTCACTTGTTCTACCCTCTTTCCACCTTCTGAATCATGTTTTAACCACACAGAATATAAAAATAAAAATGAGAGAGAAACATCAGCAGTTAATATACTATGAGAGCAGGGCCTAGTAAGGCCTAATCCCATGTATTGGGAGTCACTCATCTGACTTGGGTGAAGTTGCTCCAGATTTACCTTGGTGTAACAGGAGTAGGATCTGGCCAATTCACCAGCAGTTCCAAGAAACACTGAACTCCAGTCTCATGCTGTTGAAACTCAAGGTATAAAATGGCCAGGGTTTTACAATGTACGTGCTTCCATGCGTTTTCTACACAATTAAAAAAATAAAACAAACCCCCAAAACTCTATAGCAAGTTCAATAAATCAGTCAGTTAATGAAAATATGCAAAGGGAACTTCCTGTTGAAGTGAGGAGTGCACTGGGCTAAGCCCTGAATTGTAAATGTTGGTTACATTTGTGGCCAAAGTTGAATGACAAATTTGGTGTGGACCCAAAGGTAGTTCCCCAAGAGCCAAGCAGGATACATAAGCAGATCAAACCCCACATCCTTCTGTAGGGCTGGAGGGGGGCAAACTCTACTCCAAGTGGAAGAATATTATGGGTCCTATAAACCCCCTCTGAAGTCCTCTGTATAGTCCCAGAACAAGTACATCATAGGCAGCACTATTACAAGCTTTCCAATACTATCTAGCCAAACTGCTCAAACTTCTTCCAGTCTGGACTAAATGCTTTTGGGAGAGATTGTAGCTTGTCTGTAACCTTCAACTGAGGAAGCAAACTAAATGCCAGAAATTGTAGCTTGTCTGTGATCTCTCAACTGAGGAAGCAAACTAAATGCCAGATGTACTTATTGATGCCATACCATAGCAGTTTTGTGATGTGGCCACCTGTCCATCATGGCTTAGACTGAGGTCACCCAATGGCCACCGGATGGGAATGACTTTCCTTTATCACCAAGATAAACTAACTTTGACTTGGCGACCAGAAGTCAAAGGCTGTGTTACTTTATGGCTGAGATTTTCAAAAGACCATGAGGAAGCGGGCTACCCAACTCCCATTGGAAATCAGTCTATTTTACTTTCCATGCAGTCAGGCACTGGGCATTTTCTCTCTGCCCAGAACACTGTGACTATGTGTAGACCGCAAGCTTCTTTTGAAAGAAGCTTTTCCAGAAGAGATCTTCTGGAAAAACTTTTTTTGAAAGAGAGCATCTACACAGCAAAAAAACAACAAAAAAGCTATGTGCTTTTTCAAAAGATAGTGTCCACATTGATTGGATGCTGTCTCGCATTGCAGTTGTGATTATTGTGGATGGAGTGGCCACCAGGGCACCTGTGCTTTTTCCTGGAGTCCTCTTCTTTCAAAAAAACCACTCTCTTCTGCATCAACACATGCCTTTTTCCGAAAAAACTTTTTCAGAAAAATGCTTCTTCCACTTAGAAAGAGGTTTACCGTTGTCGGAAAAACCTCTCTGTTCTTTCGACTTTCTGTATGTAAGCAGGGGCTGAACTGCTGCTTGCTATCAGCCAGCTAAAAGGAGAGGTGGATGTGCCCGCTACAATTGTTTAGCTCTGCAAAGTAATTAACTGTTAACTGTTGATAAGTAAATACAGCTTATGCCAGCTCATGTCAGTGTTGGAATGGAATGTGGAGAATTGTAAATAATTTGGCACTGTTGTGGGGGTCACTAATCATGCTATCCCTAAATGTGGGAACTGCAAAACATGCCACCAGTGCTTGCAGGAGAGACACCACCATCATGGTAAGAGGTATCAGAGGAACAAGCCTCCCCGCTTCCAGAGTTGAGTGAACTGAGCTGGGGGGAAGGGTTAAAGGGCTTGAGTCAGCCTGCTTCACACCTGCCAGGTGTGAGCTATAAGAGTGGCCCAACCTGCCCCTTTCCCCCTTTGTTTTAAGGACAGACCTAAAGCAGACTCCCTGAGGAGTCTTTTCTTTTGCTAGTCCAGTGGAAGCTGGATTCCTTTGCCAGTCCAGCTGGTGGATAAAGAGTTGAAATACTGAGAGTTGAAATCACTGGTTTGGCTGAGAGCCAGACCCATTGCAGCCAGTGAAGTGGCGGGGGGCCGCCGAGGGGGTGGGGGGG